GGACCAAATCGGCTGTTGTGGTGTTTAGAAATCTCACAGACTATTGTGCTGGCTTGGCTCATAATAAGCAAATGTTGATGAACAAGGTAGTGTACGTGTCGCCCATCTCCAAGGAGAAAATGGTCACCATGTTGGAATCGTCTGTTGACTTGCGAGATGAGGGAAAAGGGTTGAGACGCTCCGCAGAAGCGGCCCAGTCTCAACGAAACAATCCTGACTCGCAGTTGAGGTGTCTCTATGTGCGCAATCTCCCATTTGATGTTCGTAAGGTGGAGATCATGGACTTCTTTCATGGATTTCCGCTGTCAGAGGATAGGGTTGTCTTATTGCGGGACGAAAGAGGAGCTGGGCTCGGTGAGGCTTTGGTGATCTTCCCATCTGAGAAGGAGGCCATGACGGCACAGTCCCTAAACGGACAGAGGTTTCTTGGATCCGAAGTCATGCTTAAGTGCATAACGATGGGCCAGATGCAGAAGTTTGGCGTGAATGACCAGTTGATGGATATCCCGCAAGAAAAGAACTTTCAGAGAACCGAAATTTACAAAGATGGTCCTTGTTTTTCAAACACCCAGATGCCTCAAGATGATTGTGAGATGCAGCCTAATTTGCGCCCGGGTTATGGAGGTTGTGATCGCTTTGAGCCTAATTTTGGCCACAATGATGCATTTGGGCCGGGACCGGATGGTAATGGACGTCAGTGTTACGGATCACCTGACCAACAACTTGACGGTCCGACTTGTCTTAAATTGGTGAATCTACCCTCTCAGATAAAGATCGATGAGATTTATGACTTCTTCTATGGATACAGAGTGATTCCAGGTTCTGCCTCATTGCTGTATGATAGAAATGGAGCTCCCAGACGTTCAGCAACAGTAGCATTCGAAACCCACAGAGAGGCGCTCACTGCTCTTCAAGAATTAAATGGACGACCAATCGGCACCAGGAAAATTCAGATTTTGCTTGTGTAGATATGCTTTTGGACTACAGTGTTGATGAAACTGGTGTTTTTCCTACTTTTTTTCGTTTTTTTTAAAGCTTTATGTGCTTTTTTTTCACTGATTTAACAAGTGATGTTTTTTTTTTTGCTTGCTTTTCATAAACTTGCAGATTAAATACTGCTTTAATTTAGATTCATACTTTATATCTTGATTATTCGAAAATGATGCATTTGTATGCACGTTAGTGACAGTATCTAGACTCCGTATTACTTGTGCTGTTAAATGTTTTTCCCCCTCAGAGTAATGACTACAATTTGAGATTTTACTAAACATATGTCAACAATATATTTTGTTTTCAGATAAAATCAGATTTAAAAGAATCTTCTTAACATTGTGGAATTGTAAATTTCTTCCTGCATCCAGATAAATGTCAATTCATGTTTAATGCTATTAAATGCATCTGCTACTTCTGATTTCTTTCTCGGGGTGCTTTTTTTCTTGCAGTGGTTCACAATGGGTTTCTTGACCAGTTGATTCAGTTTCATGGTCAATCCAATAATGATATTGTGATAAGTCTATCTTAATAATTGCAAAAATAATTGCCAGTTACCTCGATTACCAATATAATCTATAGAAGAAGTAGCCAATGCAGCAAAAAAAAAAAGAGCAAATTTTTCTAACAGCCTACTGGAAAAACAGGATTTGCATTGTTTTATTTACTTGCGTGCACACATATTATGGCACACACACACATATGCACACATATATGCGTGTGTATATATATATATATACACACATATATACACAGTACGGTCACGGTGCAAAAGGCTTAGGCCATTAGTATTTTCACCAAAAAAAAAATAATGGTTTTAAGTCGGTTATTTATATCTTTTGCTGTAGTGTGTCAGTAGGAAATATCAGTTTACATTTCCAAACATTCCTTTTGCCATTAATTGTAGTAATTAATTATGTAGCTTTTTAGGAAGGTTTCTTCAAGCATCTTGGAGACATTGACAGTTCTGTATTTAGTCTTAAGTTTTTTCCAGATTTTTTCATGTAATCCCAGATGGACTGGGTGAGATCAGATCTCTGTGTGGAGCACTGGCTGTTGTCAGACTCCTTGTGCATATATGTATGTATGTATGTGTATATATATATATATATATATATATATATATATACATACACATATAAATGCCATAATAATGCATTCAAAATCCACAACAAATATACAGGGTTCTCTAGGCCTATGTTACTCGCAGCATTAAGCAATAATTGTCTAACTTAAGCAACTGAATCACGCTTTTATGACTTACACTATGCATATTTTTTATGAATTATGTAGTTGATGCTTATTCCATTTTGTCAACCACAGCCAGCTGTTTGCAAACAATAAAGAAGGTGAAATAGTTTCAGCATTCAGGTCTTTTTCTTTTTTTGCTTTACAGACTGTTCTGCTATATGTGCAGCTCATTGTCTTGGGACCACTTTCCAGGTGATTCAAACCACAGTGTAAACCACAGTATTTATATTAACAGCCGTCAGTCAAATACACTCGTACCAACAACGGCTTTTAACAATCAAGCGATCGACTGAGAAAGAAGATGTCACTAGAGGACACTGCAGTACCATGAATCCAGTAAAAAAAATTACTGCATTGGTAGAAGTGTGGGCCTGATACTTAAAAAAAGATTGTGAGAAGGTTAATACGAATTCTGGAGATGGTTAGTAATAAATTGCACTTTTATAGAACAGGAGTTGTTGTTTTTTTTTAATCTATTTGTGGAATCTTTGTAAAGTGCAAAAAAAATAATAATATGATGCATAAAAAAAATGGTCATAGGCCTACTACCAAGAGTAGGGTGCAGCCAAAAAGGGATAAATTATAGGCATTAATCTGGGAGATTTAATAATTTCATGCAAGGCTGTTGTCAGACTCCTTGTGCATACAAAAATCTCACTGGATTATTACAATTAATGGTAAAAGGAATGTTTGGAAATGCAATCTGATATTTCGTACTGACACACTAAGGCAAAAGATAGTAACTGTAATAGTAAAATAACTGGCTTAAACATTCCTTTTGCCATTAATTGTAGTAATTAATTATGTAGCTTTTTAGGAAGGTTTCTTCAAGCATCTTGGAGACATTGACAGTTCTGTATTTAGTCTTAAGTTTTTTCCAGATTTTTTCATGTAATCCCAGATGGACTGGGTGAGATCAGATCTCTGTGTGGAGCACTGGCTGTTGTCAGACTCCTTGTGCATACAAAAATCTCACTGGATTATTACAATTAATGGTAAAAGGAATGTTTGGAAATGCAATCTGATATTTCGTACTGACACACTAAGGCAAAAGATAGTAACTGTAATAGTAAAATAACTGGCTTAAAACATTTTAATTAATTTTTTTGGTGAAAATACTAATGTCTTCAGACTTTTGTGTGCTATATGTATGTATGTATGTGTATATATATATATATATGTATATATATATATATACATACACATATAAATGCCATAATAATGCATTCAAAATCCACAACAAATATACAGGGTTCTCTAGGCCTATGTTACTCGCAGCATTAAGCAATAATTGTCTAACTTAAGCAACTGAATCACGCTTTTATGACTTACACTATGCATATTTTTTATGAATTATGTAGTTGATGCTTATTCCATTTTGTCAACCACAGCCAGCTGTTTGCAAACAATAAAGAAGGTGAAATAGTTTCAGCATTCAGGTCTTTTTCTTTTTTTGCTTTACAGACTGTTCTGCTATATGTGCAGCTCATTGTCTTGGGACCACTTTCCAGGTGATTCAAACCACAGTGTAAACCACAGTATTTATATTAACAGCCGTCAGTCAAATACACTCGTACCAACAACGGCTTTTAACAATCAAGCGATCGACTGAGAAAGAAGATGTCACTAGAGGACACTGCAGTACCATGAATCCAGTAAAAAAAATTACTGCATTGGTAGAAGTGTGGGCCTGATACTTAAAAAAAGATTGTGAGAAGGTAATACGAATTCTGGAGATGGTTAGTAATAAATTGCACTTTTATAGAACAGGAGTTGTTTTGTTTTTTTTAATCTATTTGTGGAATCTTTGTAAAGTGCAAAAAAAATAATAATATGATGCATAAAAAAAATGGTCATAGGCCTACTACCAAGAGTAGGGTGCAGCCAAAAAGGGATAAATTATAGGCATTAATCTGGGAGATTTAATAATTTCATGCAAAGAATATGTTAGTATGCACATCATTATTTTGTAGCAATGTGATTTACTATCAGGTAATGACAAGAATGGCAGGAAATGAGAGCGCTGTGACAAGTTGGTAAGTGAGGTCATGCTTTTGGGTCACAATGGCCAGTGCAAAGGATTGTGTAGTCAAGTAAACCCAAAGCTAAGGTGTGGGTAAGGAGTTGTTCACAGCAGGTTAGAAAGGGGGAACAATACATGTTTGTTTATCAAAACCAGTTTGAAAAGTTTGTTTAGCAGGTGGTTTCAAATCCCTGAACTTCTAACTTAATAAACTAGCCTAAACTGGTCTTAGCTGGTTTAAACTGGTCGCCCAGCCTGGCTAGGCTAGTCAAACTGGCTTTAGCTGGTTGTTCCAGCTGGTCTCCCAGCCTGACCAGCTAAAGAAGTGGTCAGAACCCCTCTAAAACCAGCTATGTCCAGGCTGGATGACCAACTAAAACCAGCACAAGGTGATCAGGTATTATTTCAGCAAAGAACCTATACTTTATAAGAATTTAAATAGCACAAAGAGCCCATGCTTAGTGAATACTTATATTAATCTAATGACAGAATCTTAACTAAAACCTTTTTCTGAAGATTCATACCCCAGGACTTTTAATTCTGTAGAACATTTTATATATGGTTATCATAATGTTGGCTCTAGTAGATATCTGACCTGTTTTAAGAGAGAGATTAAAAAAAAGAATTACAAAGAACCAAACTTTTATACTAGCAAACTCAAACACTAGCTAACAATGAAAGATGTGGAAAAGTATATTTTAGATATCGTTTTGTGTGTATGTGAGACTGGGTGAGTTCATCCACAGTCATAATGAACGCAGGGATGAAGAGAGTCACGAGCTCAGTCTGAATCAATGTGTTGGAAATGACAGAGACAGTCAGCGCGGTGACTGAAGCTGGATGCTTTATCAGAGAGAACGTGTAAGGTGCCATTATTATAATTACGCGTTTATTTTGGGCTAATTGTGTTGTGACATAATTCTGAGTTACATTTTTGTCTCTCGTGAAGATGTTATGTGATAAAAAAAAAAAAAAAACTGGATTATCAAGGGAAAAGTTCGCAGTCGTCGTGGTTCGTGGCTAGCAGCTAGCACCGTTGATGCCGATTGAGTCAGAAGTTCACGCCACCTTTATTTTCAATATTTTAGACGTATTTAACATTGGTATGTTGCCATTCTTTGTTTTTTTTCAGTTCAACAGTACATGTCTGATGGTTTTCACAAAGTATATTTACCTGACTCATTCGTCGTGTGAGATATTAGCCTAACTGAACTGAGATTGATGTGGATTGTGCGTCAGGGAAGCTGCCAATATCTGTCATCTTTTCCATTTTTTCCGTTATGTTTCTAAATATAAGAAGAACAGTTCTGAGTGCATCACCTGCCTTAGATTGGTGACCATCTGCCTCTCATATAATGTACTGGACAGTTTATTTGTCTGATGTTAGTGTAAAACTGGATAATATTGTACACCATCCAGTTTAACTGTAATACTAGGCCCAGAAATACCTGTTGCTGAGCTATAAATAACCAATAGCCTGTTTACCTAAACTAAAATATGGCTTCTTGAAAAATTTATGTTAATGTAATCCACCAATGCATGTAATCCAAATGACAAATGTTAACAGATGTACCTGACTTCATAATGGCATGAACAGAATATCATGATGTTCTGATATTAGGTCATAGTTTTTTCCACTTGTACTCAGAATTGAGCAGTTTATGGCATTTAGACATGGAATAATTTAATTAGAATCAAATAAAAATGTGTGGCTGATTCTATAGTGGATCGCATCCTTCTATATAGAGTCAAGTATAGCCCTGTAACTTGTCAAGAAAATGAAATAGGTGAAAATTATATGTTGAAATGTGAAAATTATATGTTGAAATGTGAAAACAATAACATGTTGACAATATGTTCACAATAATAGGTGAAAACAGTAATATGTTGAAATGTTTGTCCTTAAGCAGAAAAATGGATGTCTCAAAAAGGATCATCAGAAATCTGGAACCAGCGAGACCACTGCGCCGTCTTAACATAAATCAAGGTATCAAACGTGAATGTGCATACTGGTTTCAATCTTTAAAAATGCAAATCAATGCAGTTCAGTTGATGCCAGTTTGATTATGTTTTTCTGTGTGTGTTGGTGTGTTTGTGTGCTTTTTTTGGTTATCTCAATTATAGTGCCTCAAAGCTATGCTGAGATTAAGCCGGTAGAAAAGCCAGTAAGACCAATTTTAATATTTTCATGCTTTGGAATTTAATTGCAGCTGCTGGCCTCTTTTTTGCTTATCTTTTTCCTCTTGAGAGAGTGTCTTTTTTTGTCCGGTAACTGTTTTTACTGTGGACAGGACAACATTATTAAAGTGGAGCATTTCTATGAAATCCTGCATCTTCAAAGCACCAGCACCCAACCAAAGAAGAAAGGCAAGTGTCTGCTTCAGTATAAATTCCCTAAACGAATCAGGGAGATGATTATACCTCTAATTAGAAGAAAAACAATGCATTGATAATACAGTTTTAAAGTAGATCCTATAATACTTTTTGTTGTTGTTGTTTAAACTGTAGCCGAAAGAATTTGCTACACTCGGGACTTCCTCATCAAGTTGGCAAGTTGTCCAATGGCTAAGATGAAACCTGAGTTTTTACCAGAACATCCAATCGTTTTAGAGAATGGAGTGAGTTGATTGGATTTTTTTCCTTCAGATTTTGTGAAGCACTTGTTTGGCAAAATATGGTTTCTGTATAAGATAATAAACACGTATTTGCACAACGTTTCCAATTATCATTTTTTACCCAATCTAGAGAACCAATGATGTGCCCAGATACTTCATCACCAACTACAACAACGAGGACTTGTAAGTGCATTCATAAAACTAATATCACAACCAGTGCAAGAGCTTGAGTTGACATTGTTATTTTATGTGTTGCATTTTAATAGTTTTGCATATGATTTAACAGTTTGTCCATTTATATTTCTTTTCATAGGGCTGCCTAATGTGGGGAATTTCTTACAGTCTTTTTTTTTTAATTGCCCTAAAACTGCACTGCATGGGGACCAAGTGGAAAGGGTCACAAGTTAAATTGATAACTTTCGAGGTTATAAAGGGTAAAATATTTGTCTTAAGCTTTACAATGAAAACTGAAGTTTTGTAAAGACAAACATTAATACACCAAACAAAAATCTAAAAACTTAAACATTTCCAACCTAGGTGTTGCAATGCTTGTTCCTAACCAGTTCACAGTACAAAAAGTTAAATGATACTAACAGCACTGATGCCTTGGTCCTTGCAAAAGTTTCCACATCCTGTTTTGTCATGGTAAACTCATTGTCCTTTCTTGACCATACACTTTAGTTTTACCTTATCAGACATTTGTGATGTCAAACTCAGGCTTTTGATCCTTGCCTAATGTAGGTTGTGTTACTACACTGCACTAAAACAGTTGTTCTGGATTCATGGTCTGTGGTGCTAAAATTAAATTGTGGATATTTGAACTTGAAGTGTTTAAGATTGAGGTGCACCTTAAATAACAGACTGACTTCTAGCAAGTTCATATGCCTGAGTTACACTTAAAGGGATAGTTCACCCAAAAAATGAAAATTTGATGTTTATCTGCTTACCCCCAGGGCATCCAAGATGTAGGTGACTTTGTTTCTTCAGTAGAACACAAACGAAGATTTTTAACACAAACCGTTGCAGTTTGTCAGTCTTATAATGGAGGTGAATGGCTAAAACATACAATAAAACTAAAAAAAACATACACAAACAAAACCAAATTAAACCCTGCAGCTCGTGACGATACATTGATGTGTAAAGACACAAAACGATCGGTCTGTGCAAGAAACTGAACAGTATTTATATTGTTTTTTTACCTTTGATTCATGCAATGTCCGAACTGTTCGAAGTAAATGAGTGAGGTGGGTGGCGGTAATGCACTTATAAGTCTACGATATAAATACTGTTCAGTTTCTTGCACAGACCGATCGTTTTGTGTCTTTACACATCAATGTATCGTCACAAGCCGCAGGGTTTAATTTGGTTTTGTTTGTGTATGTTTTTTTTTTATTTTTATTGTATGTTTTAGCCATTCACCTACATTATAAGACTGACAGACTGCAACGGTTTGAGTTAAAAATCTTCGTTTGTGTTCTACTGAAGAAACAAAGTCACCTAAATCTTGGATGCCCTGGGGGTAAGCAGATAAACATCAAATTTTCATTTTTGGGTGAACAATCCCTTTAATAGAATCAGATTGGGAATGTTTTCATTTTGCTTAACTATGTTAACCCTGGACAATATAGAGAGAATTCATTTGACAATTATTGAGCATTTGGATTTTTTTTTGAAGGTACAGTAAGCTATTTTCACTTTTTGCAAACATTGCACTTGAAAATAGATCTATTTCGTTGCTTAAGTATGCATATGTCTGAAATTTAATTAATTGCTGTGAAGTGGATTGGAGCACAGAATAAGTGTTTGTTACAGTACTGTGGCTTTTTCAGTATTATAATATTATTTTATTAAAGGTTACTAGAAAAAAAAAGTTAAATTAATCGACCGCTCTGGATCTTATGCAAGGATATCTTTTTTATTTCCCCTGATTTGCACATCTGGGCAGAGGCAATATTTGCTTTTTGTATCACACTAATTTGTCAACTCATTGTCTCAACTTGAAATTGGATTTATTCCACTGAATACACTCAGTAAAGAAACATTTCTTTTACTTGCTGCTCTGCTGCTTAATTATTTTATTGATTTTCTTACATGCGTACATGTGAGATAAACACATACAGTTTTTATTTTACTTTATTTTTATTGAAGCAAAAAAAAAAAAGTTACCCAACACCTATCCATGTGAAAAACAGATTGCCCCCTTAATTTAATATCTGCTTGTGCCACCTTTAGCAGCAACCAAACACTTCCAATAACTGGAGATCAGTCTTTCACAGTGCTGTTGTGTGGTGGTCCACTAATCTTTGCAGAACTGCTGGGGGGGGGTTTGATCATGAGCTGCCAGTTTAAGATCCTGCCTCTCAAATGTAGTTCAAGTCAGGACTTTGACTTGGCCACTCCAATACTTTCATTTAGTTTTTTTTTTTTTTTTTTAGCTATTCAGAGATGGACTTACTCCTATGCTTTGGATGATTGTCTTGCAGCGTAATCCTGTTGGGCTTGAGCTTCAATTTACAGACTGAAGACCTGTTTCTCTCAATTATTGCAAGTGTCCCAGGCCCTGTAGCACCCCCACACCATAGCTATAATGTTATTTTTGTGGAAAATTCAGAACATTTTTTACAAAATTCAAATGAGCCTTAATGTTCTTCTGGGTTAGCAGTGGTTTTGCCTCACCTCTCTTCCATGGATACCATTTTTTGGCCAGTGTCTTTCTGAGAATAAATTCATGAACAGTAAGCTTCATCCATGCAAGAGAGGCCTGCAGTTCCTTTGGTCTTTTGTGACTTCCTGTATGAGTCATTGCTGTGGTCTTGGAGGAATTTTGGAAGGTCGGCCACTTCTGGGACGGTTCGCTACTGTGCCAAGTTTTTCAATTTGGAGATAAAGGCTCTCACTGTGGCTCTTTGGAGTCCAAGAACCTTTGAAATAGCTTTGTAACCTTTCCAGACAGATGTATTTCAATCACCTTCTTCCTCAGCATTTTCGGTATTTCTTTCACCTTTGGCATAGTGTGTTACAGGGTAAGACATTTTAATCAACTTAATGTTGTTGAAAAAGTTGTATTTGAGTGTTGATTTAATTGAACAGGGCTGGCAGTATCCGGCCTGGTTGTGTCTAGTCCAGCTGAACCGCATTATGCATGCAGTTTATGCATGCAGATTTGGGAATTAATAACTACATGGGCAAATACATTTTCACACAGGACCAGTTGGTATCAGTTGACTTTTTTGCTTCATTAACATTGTCATAAAAATATATATATATATATTTTGGGTTTGCTCAGGTTGCCTTTGTTTTAGATTATGTTTTCATTTCTGAAACAATTGCATGAGATACATCAAACAAAAAAAGAGTTCATAATGAAAAAATAACACAAATTATCAAAAGTTGGTGGAATATATCTATAGTTTATGTGATGTAATTTCAGGTAATTTTAGCAACTTGTGATAGTCATCTCAATGTCAAAAGGTAGTAAAAGTAACGTCAGTGGTGCTCGCGCACCAGTATCCAGCCTGTAGACATGAGGCCCCGCCTCTGTACTGATCCTTTCTATGAAGGACTTCTCAACTGTCCAATCCGTTGCTCCTACTAGTCCATCCTGCCGCAGGAGGCGGGGTTTGCGGGAAAACACGCTGCTGTCACGTACACCAGCGGCACAGCCGGATGTTTTACAGCAGCAGAAACTGACCGAAACCCATGGTATTTTGTCAAGTGACCTTACCGGCGGACACTGCATCAGGAGGCTTATAAACGTCCATCTCACGGTAACGAACATTGAACTTTGTTAAGAAACTATTCTTTAATTAATACTGTTTAGTTAATTTTATTGTTAGGCAAAGTTGTTTATTATGCATAGGTTGAGTTGTTAAACAAGACGATTTTTTTTACGTTGAAAAGTGATGGTCTGTTGATGTGTCCATCTCAGGAAAAAAACAGAAAATGCCGCTGGGTGAAGAGAAGAACGGTGCGTGCGATAGGTACGAATGAAATCGTGTCTTCATTTTTTCCTTATTCTTTTGTTATGTGCATGGACTTTCAGCCCTTCCGTTTCATATGTCATTCAGTAATTTATGTAGCCTAAGGATTTTATATTTGTTCATCAAACACTATATAGCGCATTGTATAAATGACAGATTCATTCGCTGGACACAAAAGTTGTTCCACAAGAAAAAGTTTCATTTGGTTCTATGAGAAGCGATACAAAACGGAAATCATATGTTCCTCTGAGCGCCCTTCTCACGACCCCTGTGTTACATAGTCCTGACAGTTATTACGTTATATCGTGTGGTTAAAAGTGTTACTTTAAACAGTTCTCCTAACAGTGGGGACAATAACCAACAGCTGTCCTGTTTCATATAACTGCCAAACTTATATTTTCCCTGCATAGGTCCATATATGTGAACAATCCCCATTTAGACTCCATGAAAGATGACATCCTTTACCATTTTAACCTGGGAACATCCACTCACGACTTACCAGCGATGTTTGGAGATGTCAAAGTAAACTTCAATTCGTTTCCATACTAAAATCTTACTCCTTTAGAATTATCCAGGTCTGTTTAACTCACTTGGTTGTACGTTTTGTCTCAGTTTGTGTGTGTAGGAGGAAGTCCGTGGAGGATGAAGTCTTTCACTGAATACATTGCCAAAGAACTGGGGCTATCAGAGCCTAATGCTGAATTCCCAAATATATGTGAAGGAACCGATCGCTATGCAATGTACAAAGTTGGACCTGTGCTGTCAGTCAGTGTGAGTGAACTCAAACTCATCCACATGAACAATTCCATTCAAAAGTCTTGGGTCAGTAAAGGCATTTACAATGCTACAAAAGATTTCTAATTCAAATAAATGCTGTTCATTTGAACTTTTTTATTCATCAAAAAATCCTGATCAAATCTAGTGCGGTTTCCACAAATATTAAGCAGCACGACTGTGATAATAACAAAGAATGTTTATAGAGTACAAATATGCATATTAGAATATGTTTACGTGCACTAATTTTCCTCAATTTCAGATTCTGAAGGTTCTGTTTATATGAATCCTAAACATTGCAATATTCTGCGTTACATGTATTACAAAAAAAAAAAACTTCAGCATATATATGCAGTGCCCCCACTCACCATGATCTGTGCAATCTGTAGGTATTTTTGAATTCAATTAGATGCGTTTACATTCTTAATTTTTTTCCCTGTGGTTCAGAATATGTCAGGTCAACACCACCCCTTTCAGTTAGGTCAAATTATTACTTGGATCAAGCTCAGTCAGACTGATTGTTCACATGAAAACTTTTTTTAGTCCGATTGAGCCATCAGTCGATTATAAACCGTATTTTGGTGCATTTAAACATAGCTAGTAAGACTGGAGTAATGACTTCAGCTTTGCCATCACAGGAATTAATTAGATTTTAAAATATATTCAAATGGAAAAGTTATTTTTAAATTGCAATAATATGTTACAATATTACTGTTTTTACTGTATTTTGATCAAATAAATGCTGCCTTGGTTTCTTTCAAAACCACTTACTGACCTCAAACTTTTGAATGGTGTAGTGTTTTTGTGTATCAGTGGCCATCAAACACCTTTAATTATAGTGCATTTGTCTGTACCTTTAAGTGCATAATTGCAAATTAAGTTTGTCTGAATGTTAACATTGAATTTTTTCTGTGTTCTAGCATGGCATGGGCATCCCATCTATCTCTATAATGTTGCATGAGCTTATCAAGCTCCTGTATCATGCCCACTGCACTGATGTCACTGTAGTGCGCATCGGAACGTCAGGTGGAATAGGTACACTGCTTTTACCATTGAACTGCTTAATCAAAATCAACTCCAACCTCACCCTGATGTTGTAAATCCATGGGATTTTTTTACTCATTTCCTGACTGAGCTGTTTTTTCTGTCTTTTGTTAGGTTTAAAGCCAGGTATTGTGGTGGTTACCAAACAGTCAGTGGATTCTGTGTTCCAGCCTCGCCTTGAGCAGATCATCCTGGGAAAACCAGTGGTCAGGAGCACAGAACTCGATGCGGAACTTGCAGAGGAGCTTCTTCAGTGTGGCAAAGACCTTGCAGAGTTTGAGACTGTCATCGGTAACACAATGTGCACCCTTGACTTCTATGAAGGTATACATATTTTAAGACTTTATAGAATCAGTGTCAATTGTCAATTGCAGTGTCAATTTTTTTGCACGGTTGGGTTTGTCGCATTTGAATGAATGCTCTGTCTTGGTACAGGTCAAGCTCGGCTGGATGGGGCCTTCTGCTCGTACAGTGAAGAAGATAAACAGAGCTATCTTGCTGAAGCCTATGCCGCTGGGGTTCGTAACATTGAGATGGAGTCATCTGTGTTTGCGGCCATGTGCAAACTGAGCAATCTTCGAGGTATGTCATTTTTAATACACCATTTACTGAGCGCAAGTTTGTGATATTTCATTGGTTGTTTAGGTTAATACAAAAAAGCCTTTATGCATGGGAATTGGGTGCTAGAGGTTTATGATCTTTTATTGCAGTTTGTCTGTTTTAGCAGACTGATTTTTACATCTTGTCACACATTAAACCTGCTGATGTTGTTTATTATGGATGGGTTAAGGTTATGTGATAATATTGAAGAATTTGTTCCTGTTTCTTCAGCTGCGGTTGTGTGTGTAACGCTGTTGGACAGACTGAAAGGAGACCAGCTGACCAGCTCTCATGACATCCTGAATAGCTACCAGCAGCGACCTCAGGTCTTGGTTGGACATTACATCAAAAAGAAGCTGAATGCCTATAAGAAAAGTTAGTTTGAAAGCTTTTCAAGAAAGCTTTTACAAGAGTCCCAGGTGAAGGTAGGGAAAAGTATAGTGCAGTTATTTGAATATATGGCAAGCAGAAGCAGCTCTTATAAGTTTATCAAAAGTGACCAAGATAACAGAAATACCTTTGAATTTTTCTGCAGTTTAATACTGCAATTACTAGCATGCTCATGCAACCTCATGCCTTGAATGTAATACCTTAATTTCCTCGTTTTAAATTGGTAATAGGCACATTATGTTATAACAGATATTTATTATTGTTTTAAAAGGCACTGTATTAAAACTACTCCTGATGAAGTAGTTGTGTAAAAGGGAAAGATTTTATAAAAAAAAGAGAGAGAACTAAGCGGTTTTAGCACTAGTTACCTTAAAAGGGTCCAAGGAAGCATTTTTAAAAAAACAATAAACCTCTGTTTGTTGGTCTATGGTTATGTTACAAACAAATTTTACTGTAATGTTCACAAATGTCTTAATTTTATTTTCACAAATGTATTAAATATTGCATAATATTTCTCCTTAAGTTTGCTATGTTTAACATTGAAAGTATTATTTTATTTCCGTAACTGAATGTTTTGTTATACAAGATTCTGACAAATAAAACCCAGAGATGAAATAATTTAATAAATGAAAGTTGTATGTAGTCCAATTTCAGTCTTATATGAAATAAATGCTAAAAAAAATACTGTGTAGAAAGTGTTTACAATGTGTCAATATTAGTATATCAAAAGTCAATATCAAGGTCAATTAGGAACATTAGAATATTAAAATAATCAGATGTAATAAAGAATATTAAAGGAATAATTCACCCAAAAAATAGGAAATTTGCTTGAAATTTACTCAATCTCACACCATCCAAGATGTAGATGAGTTTGTTTCTTCATCTGAACGTATTTGGAGGAATTTATCATTACATCACTTACTCACCAATGGATCCTCTGCAGTGAATGAGAGTTCAAACAGCTGATAAAAACAATAATCGACAAGTGATGTAAGTAATCAACAAGTTGAGTGTAATAAACAAATCCATCATGACATTTTTTAACCTCAAACCGTTGCTTTCACTAAAATACGAGTCCTCTATCTATAATATTGCTTTCTCCAGTGAAAACGTCGAAAAACAGTCCAAAACAGTTCTAAATAAATATTCCTGTGGATTTTGATTTGAGAGGACAACAGTGCATGGACTTTTTTTCACTGGAGGAAAAGTTAAGAATTATTAACTGGTATTTTGGCCAGATGCTACCATTTAAAATTAAAATGCCTTAAGGATGGATTTGTTTCTTACAAATACACAGCTTTTCACTTTACAATCTTTTTTTCACTGGAGGAAAAGTTAAGAATTATTAACTGGTATTTTGGCCAGGTGCTACCATTTAAAATGAAAATGCCTTAAGGATGGATTTGTTTCTTACAAATACACAGCTTTTCACTTTACAAGATATTTTGTGATGGACTGGAGTCGTGTGGATTATTGTGATGTTTTTATCAGCTGTTTGGACTCTCATTCTGACGGCACCCATTCACTGCAGAGGATCCATTGGTGAGTAAGTGACGTAATAAATTTCTCCAAATATGTTCAGATGAAGAAACAAACTCATCTACATCTTGGATGGTGTGAGATTGAGTAAATTTAAGCAAATTTACAATTTTTGGATGAATCATTCCTTTATTCGAAATTTATGGCTGAGTCTCAGAGACTGCTGAGTTGCCTTGACAGCATTTATGTTCGTATTCATGTGACAAATTTTGCTGCATAAATCTTTGTCTTTTTTATTAGAATGGTGGTTTTGATATTCAGGATTGTATCTAACAATTATCCTCAAATCATACAATTTCATAATTTTAACATGTTGCTGAATGATTTCCCAATTACAAAAATGTAACACCCAAATAAATAACATCATTTGCACCCTTTGTACAGCATACAAGACAAATAATCTCTTTCCTCCATCTCAGTGTTTACACAAAATTGGTTGCATTCACCAATCTAAACTGTTCAACCCTGTTACTCAAATTATTGTATGAAAAATTGCTCAAACACATCTCTCATAAACCAACATTTGGTCCCGAAGTGACTTGTCCATACAGTGAGTGACTGCCTAATAAAAAAATAAGTTGATGGTAGCCATTGACTTCCATAGTATTTTTTCCATACTATGGTAGTCAGAGGCTAATGTCAACTGTTTGGCTACCAACATTCTTCAAAATATCTTCTTTTGTATTCAACAGAAGAACTTGAGGGTAAATGATGACAGAATTTTAATTTTGGGGTGAACTGAAGCAGTTGCAGGAATTTATGACAAAGAGTGGTCATTGTGTGCATGTGACAACAATATCACAAATTCTCCACAAATGTGGCTTGTGTGGGAGAGTTGCAAGAAAAAAGCCACTTTTCAAGAAAGGCCACATGCAGTCATGACTGAGCTTTGCCAAAACGCACCTTGAAGATTC